TATTTCCGTAGAACAGCTTCGGATGAATACTAACATACTTAGTTTACAAGCTTTATTTGGCTTCATCAATATTTACTTTCTTTCGTCACTATATTTGTCTATTTTACGAACACATTTCTATGAAGCACTATGAAAAATAGAAGTTTATGTAGTGTCCAAATTTATTTCTCACCCAATGAAAGCGTCTGGTAATTTCTAAAGAAAATCTGTGCCCGTTAATTTTTCATTGAAGAACAAAAGACGATACATTATCGAATTCCGTTCATAGTCGATTTCTCATTTTCATAATTAATTCATTAGAACAGCATGTTGACGTAATAAAGTGCCAAAAAGCTTGCGCTTAGTATGTTAGTAATTCATCCGTAGCTGTTCTACAGAAATTAAAACATCCTTCTGTCGCTATTTCTCCCGTCAAAAATCTATAATTTCTATAGAACGTACGGATGAGCACTAACATTATACATAGATATTTGAAATTTGGGATCATTTTCACTTTTGCACGAAACTTTAAGATCACCAAAGGTGGAAAAGTTGCGTGTTCGAGTATGATATGCAAGAAAACATATCACTCGTGATTAACCTATCGGGATTTTAATATCCATCCCCACTGGCACCTGCACAAGGGCTTAAGTTAGCAAGACTCGTTACAAAAGCCCAATGCGAAAGAACCCTTGGATCGATATTTCTATCTGATACAAAAACACATGACAGATATTATGCAAACACTAAATACTATTCAGTTTCTTTATTTGGTTCTACACATCCTCTTATGTCTGGTAACTGGTAACATAACTTTTCTCTTATATAGAAAATCAATTAAGCAGACAAAAATGCGCCGTAACGTTATCATTGATATTTTGTGCGCCATACGTTATCATTTCCGGAAAATGCCCCGATTTTAATATTTTCAGCGGTTATTCTAGCCAGAATGGGCATGAATGCTTAGATGCCGACATATTACAACTTTTTTAATGTCAGTGATTTCAGTTAATATACATATATGTAAACAAAACAGTGAATTTTAGAGAAGAAGCCGTACGTTACCACGATCAAACCGGTGGAAAATTCTCTCGCTTCGAATCTGGTGACGCGCATTTCAGAAGAAGTACGGGACGAAACTTCATGAAATAAATTTCTGTGTGCCAGGAAAATTGTGGAGAAGGTTGTTATATGTACCTTTACACAAGAACATCACGAATTTCAGAGAAAAAAGGGAAAAACCTACTTTTTGGCTGCATCCGCCATCTTGTTTGTTTGGGTAACGAACGGCGTGATTCCTCCCCTTGAACAAGGACAAACGGCAAAAAGGCCAGCAGGTCCCTAGACAAAAACCGGACAGGATAATCTCTTCGATAGTAAACAAATAGTAAATAATAGTAACCGACAAGGAAACTAACGATTCATGTTTTGAATTATATGCGTACAAAGCAAAGGGCACAGGGTAAGGGATTCCATGGTCGGGGAAGGAGGGGGGCAGAATTAAAACAGGGGAAAATGGGAAGGAACCTACCGTAGACGAGAAAAAAACAAGGGTAACAAAAGTCACACCGTAATAGTATGAAACAACAAACAAGACATACATCTGAGGAAAACAGAGGGACGCCGCCTTAGAATTGTCAGCAGTCTAAACACTGTTGGTCTGTTAATAAAGTTCGTATTAAAATTTATATCTTATTTTTAAACAATTACCTGTTAGCATCTAAACAGATCTATAACGCTGTGATAATAGCTTTAAAAGGGTTCTTCTTTGAGCCTTTTCTTGAAGAACTACATATGTAAGAATAGTGTAGAATGTTCTGGCATGACATGCAGGAAATCGGACAAATACCTTATCTAGAAAACGTGAAGAATTACTGGAGTGTTAAAGTTCTGATTATACCAACTCAAGAGAGCAGAGAACTGCCAAATTCTATGTTAGTCTACTGTGCTATTTGTCATCATATTAATAGCAGTGGAAACTCTATAAGGCATTCACATTCATATCAAATTAAGTGCAGTACTTTTTATATTTTAAATCCTTATCTTAATGAGGATTTGTATTGGATATTGATCTAGTACGAGGCCTTTCTATTCTAAAAAGAAAGACCGATAACGAACTTACTCATCGTCAAACAATTGGCTTAGGTTCTCACACTCGGGTTTTACAAATACTTGAATTAGACAAGTTTCGCTTTTTTGGCAATTTTAAAAATAAGTTTAAATTACAATTGTTCGAAAGAGAGTTGGGGGGATGGCCTTTCAATTGAAATAAACGTATTATCGATAAATGTCAAAGGCAAGGTAAATGAAAACCAAATAACACAAGAATATTTTCAAAGTATCTCATACATGTATTTTTTTCAAAAACACACACATGGTAGTACCGCTTGACTGCGTCATTTTCCGAAGTAATAAGTTATATAACGTAAGCGAATTATTGACGCTAGAATGCGTTAAAGATTATTTTAGAAGTAGACGTTTGAAGTGTAATTATATAAACTTTAGAATTATTCCAGATATGAAAATATACAATCAACGCCTAAGAACATTTGCAGTATGTAACTATTATACCTCATTTATTTGGAAAAGGTCTGACTAAAATATGTCCTTTTGAAAATAACGCAACTAAATGCATTTGTTTTGATTTGCATTATGTTGATTCAAGGCTGTCAATCATTTTCATTGAAGTATTTATAGTACATTTGTATTTATAGAAATGTTAAAATAATTAATAAGCATTAAGTGTATTCAATAAACATTATCTCATTTAATATTCATAAGAGGAATACATGTATCATGAAAAAGAGCAATTACTTTATTTCCATTTTTGATTACTTGAATTGTTTTCTTTGTCTACATGTAAGCAGGTCTATCTTTGCCTATTCTTTACATGATCGGGTCTGTTTGATAAGACCAGAAATGTGAACATTCAAAAGAAAGACCTCATAGCATATTTGCTTTTGTTTAAGGTTTAAGCAGGCCTATCCGAAAAAGATAGACCTATCACGAACAAAAGAGAAGGTGTGTAAGACCTGAATGAAAGTTGCATCATCCGCTGCAGAAAATCCTTTGTATAAGCTTTAACAAATACCCATAGGGCTTTGATTATCCCACATTCAGTGCGTGGACAAGCTGACAAGGGAAAATTTTTATGCACCACTCGGCCAAAGTTTGGCGGAAATAAATAAGAATTTCGTGTTAATAACTTGTTGATGACTAACAAAAACGTACTGATTTATTGTAATGGTTGTGTATCTGTATAGTCATAGTCGGTCTAAAGATTAATTGATCAAGACGAAATGTTGATGATGTACAGAAAAAAAATTATAATTAGAAACTTGATTTTCTCTTAAAAAGTTTCCTCTTAAATAAAAAAAAATGTGGAAAATATGTTCTGTCTAAACTTGGAACAAGACATTGGAATTTAAAATCCTGAAGAAAAGATATTACTGCAGACAATTATATTTATATTATATGACTTTAATTATTGACTTTGACATATTGGCTATTTATTTATTTATTTATATCTCAGTTTAGTCTTAGTTCTTGAAGATTGTCAATGATAAAATAAAAAATAAACATAAAAACCCAACTGATGAGCATTGTTTACGAGTATCATTTATTTGTTTTGTTTCTTAATGTGTATTTATTGAACTTCAGACGTTGTTTACTCTTTGTTCGTTTCTATCACAACAGTCTTTCTCTTGTAGAAATTTCTTTTAACATTCGTCAATTCTAAATTATATGTATTGATACAAGAACAAAATATTACTAAACGTGTGTTAATATCAACATGGCCTAATACCATATGTTGTCATTTCATGAAATGGATGAATTATCACGTAAACATACACCACACGTACAGCACACATACATTAAGGGTAATGTAAATGTATCCCCATACCTGTGAATTAACAGCAATGATAAGTCATACTTACATATTTATATAAGGTTGTAACTGTTATATAATGTTTATAGCAGTTTTGTATATCGATATATTTTTTGATCGAGACAGACAATCAGAAATTACATTAGAAATTAACTTTTCTGCACCTAGAATACATTATCAGGTAATCTTGCTATAAAATAAATAAATTATTATTGCCAACTAGTATCTGAAAACAAGAATTACAAAATTTATTCAATGACTAAACAAATTATTGTAAAAATAATAAATTTAATATAAGTAAAATATACCGACACTATTTCAACTCTGCAGAAGGAGAAATACATCATAATGCCACTCCGTGCGTTAGTAAACGCGCACGCGGACCGGCATTTTTGATACTTTATGTATAATGGCTGAAATAGCGCTACACACTTAATTACACGTTTTAAGCTTTTGTTATCATTCTCAAAATATGTGCATACATAACACAAATATCAACCAACAGATAACCGACAGCTTATTTGTACTGATAAACCGTTTTTGCTCATTTCGCTAGTAAGGGAAGAAATTATTGTGTGCAAACAGAAGTAGACAACTAATATTTACTTTTCCCTTTAAAGACAATATAAACTGAAATTTCTCAATCACAGCTTTTTTCTTTGGGTAAATGTAGTTCTCTCGTATAATGGCTTCTTTGATCATCCTACGTACATGATACTTGATTCTTAAATGTTTTCTTTTTATAGATATCCCTAATATCCGGCTGAATTTCCTCTGTCCATCTCCTTTCTATTTTATTTACTTTCGCATATTATGAATCGTTTACATACATCCTATCTATGACACTTTAGTGTCAAATAGAAATCAAATTATTACCACCGTATTTACATATTTGATGCATGCTTCTTTTGAAAACTTGAAAGTTTTATTTGCCTATTTAAAGTGATGGCAGAAGGATAAGAGACATTTTATCTAAACATCCAGTTCTTCCATGCTTTTCAATCGTCAATGGTTCTCCTTTTCTATATATAAGGTAAGGTAGCTCAGTAATCACAGTTTTCACTGTTGTTATATAACAATTTTGATAACATGAATACAACAAAAGAGACCAACTGGAGAGACTTGTTAAATATTTATTTTCCAAATATTATAGGTACTTGTATTGATACGTATGAGTACACAAGTAAGACGAAAACTATTATCATTCAAGTATAATAGAATGTCGAAAACTATTTAAAACTAATTATAAATATCAAGAAACCGCAAATAAACATTTTTTACAGCATAAGTTAATTATTAGCTCATAGATACATTTCAGCAATTACATTTATGTTGTTTTATATAAAATTAACGTAAAACGTCTGGTTCTGTTCTCTTCAGTTATACTGTCTAACATATTACACTTCTGTACTGCTTAAAATTTAATTTTTAAATTCCGATACGTTTAAACATTGAAGTCAATACACAGAGAAAGCCTTCCATGAGGTGTTGTTAAGAAAAGTTAGTTTTAATATTTTTGATAATCAATGTTAGTTAATCTGCTTGAGTAGACTGGAAGAATTTTAAATATCTAAATTTGTCATCAAATATGAAGACAATTTAAGATTTGCTTAGTATTCATTGTTGGCTTTTGCTCTATATGCTTCATATTGAAGTCTTCTATTTAAGGTTATGTGTTTATATGGAGCGGAAAGTGCTCGTTCATATTTTGGACAATCAACCATTAATTCATCTTCAAAATCAACATGTTGGTCTGGTTTTTTGTCCGCCGATTGCGAAACTACTGGTGATTTTATTTTTTTTCTTGTTTTTTTGGACATCTTTTTTATTCGAGATGCTTTAGTCTTAGGTTTCTCATTTGGCGATGTAGGTTTGCCATTTGTTATTTGACTATTATCATTGTTTCTGTCGTTTTCTTCATTTGGTTTTTTGGTAGAAGTTTCATTTTCTTTATCAAGGAATTCTTTTTCAAAAATATAGGCATCTGTGTCTAGGTTTTTTTGTTCGGTATCGTTCGACAAAACTGAATCTTCAACTTCAACTGTATTTTTGTTATCTGTATCCTCAAATTCATTTCTGTTATCTCCATCTACAGATTCGTTATCCATATCTTTTTTCTCAGGTTCATTTTTGTTATCTCCACACATAGTTTTGTTATCGTTATCTGAATCTTCAACTTCAGCTATATTTTTGTTATCTTTATCCTCAAATTCATTTCCGTTATCTCCATCCACAGATTCGTTATCGTTATCTTTCTTATCAGGTTCATTCGTGTTATCTCGATCCACAGATTTGGATTTGTTTTTGTTTTCTTTATCCTCAGATTTATTCTTGTTATCTCCATCCACAGATTCGTTATCGTTATCTTTTTTCTCAGGTTCATGTTTGTTATCTCCACACACATTTTTGTTATCGTTATCTGAATCTTCAACTTCAGCTATATTTTTGTTATCTTTATCCACAAATTCATTTCTGTTATCTCCATCCACAGATTCGTTATCATTATCTTTTTTCTCAGGTTCATTCTTGTTATCTTGCTCTGATCCTGATTTTAGTTTTGGGTTTGTCTCTTTCCTTGTCAATATTTCTGATACGTCATTGCTTGATGTAAGTGTCTCAGCATCTGTTTCTGTATCTACCTGATCAAATTTCTGTATGGACAGGGAAGATCTGTCTGACAAATCTAAATGGACGCGTTTCTTTTGAAACTGAGGACAACAATTAAATAAAATATCTTTATTCCTTGAGTCATTAAAAGCTGTTTGGTCGGGTTGTTTCACTGGGGGCCTAACGTTATCAGATTGATTTGATGTAGATGTAACGTTATTTGCCATGGGTTTGCACAATATACCATGAAAACAGTTGAAGCTGACAGGTTTTTTCTTGTTATCTCCATTCACAGATTTGTTATCGTTATCTTTTTGTTCAGGTTCATTCTTGTTATCTCCATCCACAGAGTTGTTTTTATTTTCTTTATCCTCAGATTTATTTTTGTTATCTCTATCCAAAGATTTGTTATCGTTATCTTTTTTCTTCTCAGGTTCATTCTTGTTATCTTGCTCTGATCCTGATTTTAGTTTTGGGGTTGACTCTTTTCTTGGCCTTATTTCTGTGGGTGTAACTTTATTTGCCATGGATTTGCACAATATACCATGAAAACAGTTGAAGCTGACATGTTTTTTTGGATCAGATTTAATGTTTGTGTCATGACTGTTGGCCTTTGAGAACTTAAAACATTTAGACAAACCTCGAGTACATCCTTTATTTTCATTCAAACTTTTTACCTCTTTGTCGTTTTCAGAAATTGATCCTTTTCTAGCCGGATGCCTGAGAAATGTTCTTTTTGATATAAAATCAAACGCTAATACAACCCCTGTTATAGATGCACTTATCAGCAAAAATCCTCCACCTAATCTAAAGTTCAGTTTCCACCTTCCGCCATTGTCAGATTTATCGACACCGTCTAAAGTATAAACAGTAGATTTTGTTACAAATGTAAATATATATAGCTTACTTATTTCATTGGATAAGTAAGGCTTATGAAGGCAACCTATTATATCAAAACAATGACAGCTTTACTACTTTTTTGCAGCTGCATCTTAACCCGTTCTTAAGGCATTGAGACATTTTGCCTATTTTGACATCACTAGCTATAGAAAGAAAATGAACAATACAATTCTAAGGCTCAAGGCGTGGTCGGTAGTTTGCACTTGAAAGTACCGTCCATGAACACGCTTAATCAAACCGAGCCTGCAACATTTTTAATTTTGCTGTGTTGGGCTTTCTTTAGGAATTCTTATATTCTCTATTTTAACGTAAATAAGTCCAAAATGGAAACTCTATAATACCAAAATTACTATGTTGATAGTAAAAAGTATCAAAAGTGACAACAAACCACAAAATGAATATATAAAGCTGTTGTTGATATATGTGAGATACATGTTCTGATATGACAAACTTATCTCTTTGAAGCAGCGTTGCATTGTGTTAGAACAAAATATTTTATTAATCATCACATTAATGTCGATAATTAACCTCCTAGGAGCCTTCAACATTTGTAAACGAATGTTTTATAAGAATATCTAAATGATACATTACTTTTGTTTTGTTATCAATAATTATGGAAAATATGTCCATTGTAGACCATATCATGTTCATGTATATTTTAATTATACGCTAAAAAGCCTGCACTTGCATAACATTTTTATGAAGCTTTGGTTTCATAGACAGGAAAACAAATCTGGAAACTAGCTGCTTTAAGGATAAGTCTGTTATACGTTTATACAGAGTATATTCCAAATTAACCTGAAAGAAGAATTTCATCTGCTTCAGTAAGAAAACTGACTAAACCTTTATTTAATTGGGATATTTCACTTATTTCATTCGAGCATAGATGTACTTTTCGTCTGAAAGTTACACTACTTACTTTGAAAAGTTGCAGCCGTTAAACCTCCTAGGCCTACACTCATTTGAAGAAATCCTTGTGTTAATCTAATGTTAAACCGCCCAAAGGCTGTCGGCATTGATTCATCTCGGAAGTTTTCTGTCAGAACTGGCAGGGACAATTTAAGAAAGGTAAAATTTAAAAAAAATGATTTCTCTTAGTTGATATCAATTTTAAGTATTGACTTTTTAATTTCATGATTTAAAACTTGAACATAATAGTTTTGTCTTTCAGCTATGTTTTTTTTTTTCAGATAGATTGGCAGAATTTAACAATATCTTCTACACTTAATAAATCAAAAATGTTTTCAAAACGCATACCTTCGAAAATTGTAAGGACTAGTATGTAGATAATATAATAAACAAAGTTTTCCTGTGTTACTATAGACATGATAGCCATGATATAACCAGACAATGTGATGATGCAGAACACAAAACCCATATTCCTTTTTCTATTCCTATAACTAAATAAGAAGAGAAACGCCTGGATTATATCATTTGTTAATCGTTTTATTTATTAATAAAAAAAGAAACTTATAGGTACGTTCAAATAAAATGTCGAAATATCACAAGCGTATTTACAAAGGTATTTTATCAATAGATATCTTTCATTTCGATACAACATCAATTAATACTATGCATTTTCATACCGCAGTTATCAAACTGTGATATTGAAATATGTTATAAGGCATTTACCTTTCTACACATGGAAGTGATTTTAGTAGATATGTCAGGATTAGCCCAAGTAAAGTGCCAACATTTGCTGATAAGACTTCGTAAAATGAATCTACAGGGGGTGCCAATTGTTCCTGCATTTGACTGGAAATTTCTGGTAAACTAAATGTCGGAAGCGATGTTCCTGTTTTTAAATTATATAATGAAAATATAGATAATCCTATGATTATAATCATAAAAGTACAATACATTAGAAATGTTATTTTAAAATTTCCTTTACCAATTTCGAATGCAATATGATACATTAAGCGGACAAGCAAATATTTTAAACTTAAAATTCGAAATTATATAAGTATATAACATTCATTAAAGTCAGTGGTTGCTAAGAACTATTGATGTAAGTAGTCTTATAAATACATACCGAAACTAAAGAAGAAAAACACAACAATCGTGATCCAAAATGTTTTATCTTTAAGTACTGGAATGCGAAATGTATTTTTTAGAAATTCCTTTATAATGCCACTACATCCTTTTTTATCCTTATTCTCCTTCTTGTTTTCATCTGTAGTTTCATTCCCGTCATTTTCCTTTTTCATTTTGTCCGTTATAACTATATCCTTATAAACGATACAAAAGATGCATAGAATGTCCATGTATGTTCAATTTTATTATTAATGATCCTGTATAATGAAATTAAGGATGTTACATACAGATAACTGAAATTATATGCACGTATATCAGTGTGCACGTATATCAGTGTCGTTTCAACTCAGTGTTAAAAAATCCAAGAATTCGTATCATTGATATACAATTTTTTGTACGTAAAATATAAGTTTTAAAAATAATACATATATGTTTTATTGACAATTTGGCGAATACGTTATAAAAATAGATTTCTAATTACATTCCATTTATCTAACTGTTTAATTCGGCTATATGTTCATAAGATATGTTTTATTGATAATCATCAGGTTTGATGGATAATACATAAAAGTTGATTAGGTACAGGGACTTTAAACATGTGAATTGAAAAACACACATATATCTCAATAGAGCTTTTAATAGTTAATTGAATATAATATCGTATTTTTATGTTATGGAAGCATACATATTTCCCGACTTTTCATGTATCTAGTTTCCGCTATTCAATTATTGCTACACCATTATTTATTCACGGTGCAAAGAATGACAGATATTTTATCATACTAGACTACAGTCACCTTTCGTTATTATAGACGCTGTAATGAATTATCTTTACCCGTTTTGTTTAAATATCTATTAAACTTACCTTTAGAATAAAGGCAATTGCTAAACATGGTAAGCATAAACCAGCATTTATCCTAAAATGTACAAAACTGTAAATAAACAGAAGACTACCCCCCCCCCCCAATAAAAACAAAAACACCAAGAAAACAAATTAAAAAACAAATAAAAACAAAATTTATCAACAAAAATTATACAATGTTAACAATAATTTGAAAACAATAATGCATACGGTAATTAAAGGCACATTATACCTCAGAAATGAATAAATATGTTCTCCTTCAGAAAGTTCATTATGCGGTTTTGTAACGTTTATATTATGGTAATAGGGAATGGTAATGCTTGTTACCTGAATAAAATATGGCTAAATATAAAATGATATGTCATAAAAGTAGCAAAATTTAAACAAGGTAGTGCAAAATATTATAATTAAACCAAATCACTATAGATGCAATAATTGTCAAAACAGGAACAGAAGAAAACGGTTAATTGGCAAATGAGTTACATGTTCAAAACAATAAAAGAATAACAAATCTGAAAAGAATTTGAAAAGTAAAAATGAAAGCTTCTTGGGGCAAAGTTGGCTTTAAGATTTACTTGATACTTGATACGTTTATTTTTAGGAAAATGTTGTGCTGTCATCATTTTGTTTTATTATTTTTGGCAACAACATACCTCAACAATGTTCTCCAGCTAATGCTTTCTGCAAACATTATACCAATACTCGCTGAAGCACCAAGGACGGTACCTATCCTAGTAATAACAAGAGCTTTCATTCTGTCACGTTTGAAATATTCCAATACTGGAATCATTGCTCCGAGTTTGAGGCAGCTCACACCTAAAGCTTCATTCAACAGATATCATGATGTTAATAGATTAGAATAGAAGGGTTATTATCATCAAAGAATGAAATAAGATCACATAAATTGTAAACACAGTTTTTAAGATTATACTTGTTTCTTGTTCTTTCTTATGAACAGAACGAACAATAAGTGAATTAAAATTTAAGCCTTATTGTATAACATTCCCGACTTGATTTTAACCCCATTAAATTTGATAAAAACAAGATATAAATAATTATGTGTTCAAAAATAATTGAAGAGGAGATCTCAATGTAACTTACCAACTGGACCACACAACCACACTTGCCAATACCAGCTAATAGTTCCCTCTAAAATGTACGACAATATGAACGTTTACTCATTTTAGCAAATCATGACGTTATAAATTGAAAAATTGAAATTTGATAAACGTGCGATTGAGAGAGTAGCAAACACAATGTCTTTACAGATAATCAATTACAAAATATGGCATCAAATATAAAATTACATGTATATGTCCTGATCTTTATAGCATTGATTAAGCATTTCGATGGAGAAAATAGTGAATTCTACACTTGACCAGTGTTAAGTAGAGAATGTTAAATCTTTTAATAGTGGTTTCTTTTTTCCCTTTTTTTGGGGGGGGGGAATGATTTAAACATTGTTTGGGTATTCCTTTATCTGAATTTGTAGAAAGTAACTGGAAATACTTTACTCACCAGGTCCGTTATTCAAGAAAGATATATTTGCAAATGCTACACATACAAGAAGTGATCCGACGGCTACTGTGGTCATGTAACTTGACTTTGACATCAGAAACAGAGCTAATGGTGCTACAAAAAAGACAACAAAATAAAAAAACAAAGATTGAAAATAAATGTTTTAAGAAAAGATCATAATTGCTAGAGACCTTATAATATGAAAGTTAATCAAACCTACCTTCATTTTTTTAGATTGTTTTTTTAAGGTACACTCACTAAATTATTACCTGTTTCAGCTATTCTGTCCGGTTCCTATAAGCTGCACTAGATATTGCACAAATATTTACCAAAAATACATTACTAAAGACGTGGAATATCAATTCCAATGTTCATGGAAATAGAAAAATAAATAAATGATGAAGAAAGTAACAAAAACAAAGTTTTTTTTTACAAAAACAGAGCTATTTTACCATAGAGATTGGTCAAACTCTTGTAGATGTTGTTTGCACTGTTTGCTTCAGTTGTGTCTACGTCTAATGTCTCTAGCAAATCGGTGTCAGTGATTGAGATGTCAACGATGGATAGATGCATTTGTACAATGAGATTAATTACGAAACATACGATGACATTCAGTTTAGCACTTTTACTTTCTTTCACAATAAGGTCTTCAAGCCCATCATTTTTATATTCAGCCTCGTTACCGTTTTCAGGGTCTTCATCATTATATTGAACAGGCCAATTTTCAGGAATCAAACACGCCATCACTGCTCTTTATCTTTTCCCAACAAATGCTACATATACGTGAATAAGATATCTCATTAAATTTCATCTTCATCTTTACAAATATACAAGTAATTTTGCATATCTTGATATTAATTTGTAGTATTGTAAATGATATATGTTCAAGCTATTGAGCTCGTGCATCTACTGTTTAACCTTTATCATCATTAAATTTAAAATCTTTAATTGTATTCATAAATATAGAATTCTACGACCGTATTGAATGGACATTTTCCAACAATGTGACCTTTAAAAATATATAATCATTGAACTCAGTCTTATTGTCAATTACAGATCCAAGGTTACTGCTTTCTTGTAATTTGATTTTGACCTCAGGTACAGGACTACTGGTGCTAAAAAAGACGGTCTAAAATAAAGTATTAGAAAGCATTGCAAAAAATCTTATTTGCTAATGGTCCAACACATATGAAAAACTGAACTTAGTGTGATCCCTCGGAATCATTAATCACATCAACTTTAGATGAAAATTTTAGACTCTGTTGGATCGAGTCTGTACATAAGGGATAATGAAAAATGCGTAATCCCTCACGCCCCTATCACCGGTTTGACACTTTTTAACTTGAAATAACCCTACCCGTTAACATTAGACATTCTTTTACCAGCCATTGCTCTTACATATTGAGACGTTCAACAAATATGTATGTGTATCATCATCAAACTTTTTTAATGTAAAGGAAGTTATATAAAAACTAGTGATTTAAAAAAGGTGGTTATTTTATAATGCATTGTATAGCACAATACTAGAGTCTCGTCAAACAAAGAACAATTGAAAACAAACTGTAAAAAAAGATCGATAATCTCTATTGACCAGCAACAAGCCGTTTTATGTAGTGGGTTGCGTTCTGTGAATGTTGCCTCACTTTGTTGCTCTATGTTGCTCTATGTTCTCATTTGTTTACATTTTTCAGTATGTATACTTGAATCATTTGCACAATGTATAAAATCATCACAATATATTTATCATTCTTGCTTCAGATCAGTTAAACTTGACTGTACATTATTAACTACATGTACTCAAAGTTAATTAAATTGTTATTAATTCGCTGCATGCACTGTTCAATTGAATATTTGTATTTGATTAAAAAAAAGATAGTTTTCGCCATTTTAGCAAAATACATACCTATAACTTTGTGACCTAAGTGTTTTGAAATAATATTCCCAGACAATACGTACACCATTTATCATCAGATATTCCACGGCACATAAATGAAAAACAGTACTTTATCTGAATACAGAAAAAACAATATGAAATAAAAGAAATAAACAAAAGTGATGATTAGGAACATTTATTTATAACATATGTATAGTTCTTGCTATTTTTGTACTGAATTCAATATCAGAAAAAGATAATGTGATGACAATGTAAACTTTGTAATAAATACTTTTTAAGATAAAATTATAATATTCGTTTAGATTTCAATGTCTTACCATTTAACACTCTTAGTTTTGTAAAGAAATCGCCCCACTTTTTCTAATTGCCGAATTTCTTTATTCATAAAAAATGTTTTTAATGCGTAAATATTCTTTCGGCATTGAAACGAAAATATAAAAGACATAATAACATGGATTGTTAACCTGCCTATTTCACAGTTAATGATAAAGCCTTAGTTAGTTTGCTTTGCATTGCAAGAGCGCGTTCTTTATGAGCGGTGACATCTGATAGTGTGATCTGATATTGTGATCTCAATACATAGCCTACTGTTTTCAAAACTGTACTTCTATACTTGCGAAAAAAATATTTCATGAACCAGGAAGAAAATTGATGATAATATTTCTAAGTATTTTACCTCTTTTTCTTGTTAAAACGCATATTTTTGTATTTAAAGGCCCATTATGCCTTAGAATTTTTTTAATTTTCATTTCTCATATTTTTTTGGTGTTTTTTTAATGGTATAAAACAAATTACCCACTGGCTGATTTCCTGATCCTTCTTTTTCATCTGTTGCTTTTTGTCAGTAAGTACAAATATAATGAACAAGTATTTTAAATGGAAGTCAAAATACTACTTTGTTTGCATTTTGCTAATTTAATAACTGTTATTTCACATAAATTGCTACTTTCTTCAAGTAGCAAGCATATAATATTTTAAAACCATTTTATAAACATTATAAAATTCATGTTTCCTCATTCTAAAGAAGTAAATATTTATTTGTTTCTGCGCAATAATGTGCCTTTTAATGACATATTATTTTTGTTTTGTTTCATAATTTTGATTAGAATTAGCAAAATAAAAATAATTTATGATACTGCAGTTAATTCTAAGGTCAATTACATCATGGAAAAAAGTGTGCTGTCACTTCCATTTTTTATCTGAATATACTTAATACAGACTTGTCACCAAAACAACAGACATTGGCAACAGTAGTAAAGAATCTAAACAAGAAAATATTTTATTTTTTAACTGATGAAAGGACGAACTAGTTAACTTTGGTGACTGATAAAAGCCATGTCGTATTTTTGCTAAAAGGGGCGAAAATAAAAAGTTAAATTTTTTAGTACTTTCGCTGTGTGGAACACAAAGCGAAAACTCAAAAATACGACAAAATCTCTGCTAAGTTTAATATTCAAATGAACATTCAAATACGACAGAACAGAAAACGTACCTCTAACGTTTATATTGATGGAAATTATTATTGCTTTACCAGCTAGCCTTGTAATAAAATTACATAAATTTTGTTACTGAACTGCAGAAGGAAATCAAAAGATTGGATTGTTTTCTATTATCAAACATATACATTATATGTTGTAAATGTACATGTATAAAGATAAAAGTAATAACTTACAAATCAAAAGCAATCTTACCTTGAAGAACGCCCATTTGATTATGATTGTTACTCCTTTATCGTTGTCGAACAATTCCACAAATGTCAGCCAAATCATGTTTTGTTTCAATTTGTCAAGGCATGAATGTTGAATGGCGCCTATGCGAGCTCTACATAATCTGATCTTTGCAATTTTGCAATCTAAATCGTACTGTATATCTGTATGTATTTTCCTGTATAAGTTTTTCTTTAATACTATAATTCATCCTGCAGGGCATCGAGTTGCAGCGACTGCGTTTAGATTTTTTACTATAATAGTTTGAGTTTGATACATACGGAATTTTGCATGACCAGAGTTTCTACTTGCATCATAAAATCATTTATGTTTATTTCTTATGATAGTCACACTTTATCCTTATAAAATCTCGAACAAAACTTAGTTGCCACGACTGAGATTTGAACTCCAGACCTCTCACATCGTGAGCGTGCAACCCCTCGGGCACAGTGATGTTATATACAATAGCCTGATTAAAACCATATCATTCTAAATTAGAATTTCAACTTATGGTTTATAATTCTTATTTAATTTCTAATGTAAACCTTTTGTTAACACTGATGTTAATGTTATGGCGAAAATCTTCTCGCCCAAAAAGTCCGACATGTATATATTTCACTACTCGACAGTCAGATTCATTTGTGTAATACGTGCAGAAGTCTTCGGTAATCGGCAGCGCTGAAATAGCATCTTGTTTACGTGGATTTAATTATCGGTGGTTAACTTATGGTATAAATTGATTATTGATCGTTGACTGCCCTAAATGTGTACATGTCCTAGAGTCAACATCCTTACTTCTTTCAGAAAGTCTAGATAACAAATCTTCATTAATGGGTGTTTAATTCCGATCACAATAATCCGAAGCTTAACGGAAATAGCCGAGACATTTTCATTGATTTAAATGATATTCATCCGCGTTATTTTTTGTTGTGCATTTATTGACAATTCTATAAACCAAAGTTACTTTTCAACTTTGAATTTGGTGGATACTTCTAACAAAACAAAAATATTTCTTTCTTTTACTACGCTAGTTTTAAGCTGTTTTGAGAACAACTTGTTGTGAAGTTTGTCTGGAAAACTGTGCCTGAGGTTGAATGTCAGCATCGTATTTCCTGGTCTGCGATCAGAAAATACAAAAGTAAATGAATAAGCATTTCGATTCGACCAGGAAATACTTTTATGGTCTAGAGGGTCGGGACTCTTATGAATGCTGGATACCGTTTACTCTAAACTGTTTATTGGTAATCGGGGTCTTTAAGGTATTGATACAATCTGGTATAAAACTGATGTGTAGATCTCGAACTCAAATTATATAGTAATCAGGCAACACATTTGTATAGTTATAAAATTAAATCCAATCGTTAAAACAATAATTGTTAAACAATCATGAATAATTAATATCAGCAAACAGCTTTCATAATATCTCAAGACAGCTCACAAATCACGAAACAATAATTTAGTACCGCTTGGCCTTTAAAATAATATAAGTACAGATGAACTAAAGATCTTTGTGTTACGTGTATCATTTTAAATCAGCGGTGACAATAGTTATCAGATCGATTTCAATAAACAATGTAGTAAATACTTAAATGTTATTTAAAAATTCTTAAATCGGTTTTATAAAACTTATCTAAGCTCTTTCAATTAGATATAATTCTAGTATTTCATAAACTTATCTTATATATAAGTTAACTTTAAATTTAAGATTTCTGCAAACAAGTTAACGTACGTCTACACCAAATGTTTCTAAATCTGAACTTTTTTGTGACCAAAAAATCTGCTGTGTTTATACGAGGCAGTGATAGAAATGACAAAAAAAAATAAACAAATATTGGTAGAACCGAGCCAAAACTGGTAGAATGGTAGCTATCCGAAATGGACGCTACCAAAAACAGGTAGAAAACCAGCTATCAATCACAGGGCTGCAAGCTCTTTGGTATTGTCTGATCTTTACAAAGTGAATATATGCTCTGGCACGGAACCGAGTATACAGCGACTGCGTTTTTGGCAAAGTCGGGCACAAATTTTGCTGAAAATATTTTCACTTCACCCTACTTGATCGGAAAAAAACATAACAGGCTTTTATTTTCAATTTATGTACACTTTGGGGAACATTATATAAATAACACATGGGTTTATGGGTAACAGTAAAAATATCATCCCGAGGAAAATACTGTTACCCGAGGCGTAGCCGAGGGTAACAGTATTTTTACGAGGGATGATATTTTTACTGTTACACACAAACCCATGTGTTATTTATTTTATTACCCCGAACAAATACTGTGATTATCTGAATTTGTAAACTAAATCTAACTGTAACAAAATAAACCAAGAGTGGCAATAACTAAACTGCTCTTACCTTGCAAGTTTTAAGTGTACTTTAGGCCTACTTGAGAAGCTGTTTTTCTTTTATTCTTTAAGCAAGTGATGATATCTACCAGTCATAAACATACAATAAGCTGTGTTTTATTTAGAAAACAAAACACTAACCCATTTATAAGGTTATGATCTGTGAAATCTGATCCTTCTGTATCCAGAATATTCTTCGCATGGTTTTTGACAAAGTGCATTTACAAAATAACGATGATATCCTACAGATGTCTGTCCACCAACTCTATCTGTAACGTTTCACTGGTTAAAATTGTTAAATAATCCTTTGTTGCATGCTTTAATCGTCTGCATGTTCCAGTTTGACACAAAATTATTCACATTACAATTACTTCCGTTGAAAACGGATGTTTACTTTTTGACTATTCAACAAAAAGATATTTTATACGCGAAAAGAACTCTAGGGTGCAAAGAACTAAATTTTATGAGAGTCATAGTTACTTTGGTGATGCCCTAGGCCCTATCGTCGAAAATAAGAATGAATCGAGAGAAAAATGGCGGCCATTTTATTTCATTTTATTTAGAAAATAGACCACGTGACCAGATTTTATACTGTTAAAAATACTGTTACCTATGTAACAGTACAAAATTCCTAGTCAGGTGATACACTTGCATTAACAGTAAGAATAACTCCCAGAGACCTATGGGAAATAAACATTACGAAAAAAGTGAGGGGTAATAAAACGAAATGTTTATATAACGGAGAATGTATAGTCCCGGTACGAAAAAAAAATCATTTAACACTTTCCAATTCAAAAAGGAAAAGGTTTACTTCATAAGAGAAACCAAAGTATCTTCTAAACTATGAAATAAAATTTCGAGCCGGGATTGGTTAACTTTAAGTCAATGTACATCATTAATTATTATTAAATATTCTAAATAAATCTTGAAAAAAAAATTGACAT